TTATTTAAGGTATTATTTAATAAAATATATGGTCCATAATCATTCTCTTATTTCTTTTAATACGTATTATTTTCTTATGAATCCGACTCTATATACACACACATATATAACATTATAAATTTTGAATTTATATAACGAAATACGAATTTTAAAAAATATATCTACATCAAATAATAATTTTAAATAACTGTAAATAACAATTAATATTAATCATATGTATAACTGGTAAAAAATGTCAAAAGGTCATGGAGCTTATAAGTTACCTTTTGTCCATTCAAATATTGCTTTTGAAATAAGCACAGAAATTAGCACAAAAATAAGCTAGCTTATATTTGCTAGACATAGCTTTATTAAATGGTACCAAAAATAGCTATTTATGTGGGTCTTACGTATTTATAAATGTTCGACATTCTCAACTCATGACATTAAATGATACGAGGACGTAGGACGGCCAACGGTTTTCATTAAAAAAAAACGTGTCCCTTAAAAGAGATTTAAATTTTCATAACGTTTTTGTGCTGTTTAATTCTACAGTTTGAAACTTTCATATTATATGTTGACAAATTTGAATTTCATTTAGACTTTTTAGAACTGTTACAAGATATGTTCACAAAATCCAAGCTTCATTTAAGAGTGATTTAAAAGCCAATTATGTTTATATTTTTAATATCATAATTCAAGTTTTCTAAATCCTTAATTTTAAATTATCTTCTTTGAAATCTATAACCATGATTGGAAACAAAACCAATTAAATGTCGTAGTGTAAACCTAAAAGTGAAACCAAGGATGATGACTTGACAAGATGAAAGGAACAAAAGATTGTCTTAGAAGATACTTGATACCTCCGCTATTATAATGCGTTTTAAAACCGTGAGTCAAAGTGTATGGACAAAACGGACAATATTTGGTACAACTGGCTTGGGATGTTACATTTATGATATTATATTTTTCAGTCAAATTACATAGAAATGCAACATATTTTGTTTTTACTCTTATTTTCATTTAACGCATGTTTAGAACTTTTATTTCAGTACTTCGTTTGTGACATTTCTAACATTCAGGCACCTACGTTAAATATGAGAATGAATAAAATTAAGTACTTTCGATCTGATTGCTATTTTGGGGTAACATACGCTGGGTTAAATGTTTGAGATATCATATCTAAGTTACCAAAATAAAAGTTTAGTTAAACAAACGAACATGAACAAATGTCTCGTTCGTTCATTTATGTTCGTTCATGAACAAGCTTGCAAGGGTTTACCTTTTTTTTTACCTAGCCCCATTGACTTTGAGCCTACATCAAATCTTTGTTCATTTATTTTTCTATTTGTTCACTTGTTTGGTTAAGATAAATAATGAATAAGCCTTTATTTGTGCTCGTTCGGTTTGTTTACAGGCCTAGACATAAGAACTTTATTTGTGTTCATTAAGTTCGTTTTGGGAGATCATTGTGGTGCTTTAATATAAGCAATTGAGTAACATATGAATGAGGGTAAGCTTTTCAAAATATCATTAGCCATTTATATCACAAAATAGTTTTATAAAACAACATATTGATATTTAGAGAAAAACATATAGTCATTGATCAAATGCTCACGACATACATAGATACATATGTATGTACGTATAACATACATACATGA